TTCATTCTAATATTTTCACATAGGAACTTGTCCTTTTAACCATATTTCAGGTCCTGCTTCCTAGAGAAACTAACCTACAAAGGGTGAAATGTGGAATCATGAAAGTGTGGTGATAGGCTCCAGCTCCCTGTGTCAGTGTTCAGGCAGCATAATTGCACCCTGTACCAGCACTTCTCAGTTGTATGATGAAGACACTGCTGCTACAGTCCTGGATACTCATTACTGTCATCCATGCCCTTGGAGTCATATGCAGAAGAATCCCCAAATCTACCCTGTGCTGGGGGAAAAAATACTTTGTGCCCTCTTGAATTATTCAACAGTGCTCTAAAGTGCTAGGTGGAGCACAGGCTTTGCAGAACATATTAGCACAGCCCTAGTTATCTAAGGTGACAAAAATGACCCTCTCATATGTTCTCTTACTACCATAGAAGGCCAGCATTGTCACTAATTAAGACTCAAGCATGGATTTAAGTATAGAGGTACCAAAACAGGAGGGAGCTTGGCAAAGTGGGCAATCAAAAAGCATACAAATATTTCTAAAGACGCCAGGGATCTTCACAGAGTTCCAACCTCCTCCATGAAATTGCTTTATAAAAACATTTATATTTCTGCAGGTGGTAGTGAAGAGACACCAAGAATGATGATAAACGCCTGCCTCACAAGTGCAAGGCCCCGAATTTGATCCCAGGTACAAAAAAAAAAAAAAACATGGGAAAGAGGAACTGTTCTAGGACTATATGATATTACTGAAATTACGGAATGATTGTAGAATAGAAATTCGATATCCAGATTATATAGTTTTTTGCAGGTCATTTAACTGCTTTCATTTTCCTTCTGGAAGTTAAGTGTCCTCAAACTATGGAATTTTGGCTGAGACTAGGAACCCTTGTAGGCTGTGTATGCATCCTGGCTTAAGAGCAGGATATTCTTGAACAATCTAGACCTCTTGTCAGGGCTTCCTTTGTTTAATTTTCTCAGACATCGAGTCTGTGCTCTGGCCAGCCTTATATGTCTTCATATCAGTTCAGCATGACAAGGGTCATGCACAGACCCCAGCTACACCTCAGCTTAGAAGAGTCTCAGAGTCTCCATTGAATTTGAAAGGAAGCTTTACTTTGAGAGAAGCCAGACAAATACCCTCACTGTGCGATGAGAAAACTGGAGTCCAGAGGAGTCCTCCACATTTACTGTGGAAATTAGGGGCAGAGCTGGAGCTGAGAACTACTTGTCCTTTGTATTCTGGAATTCTCTTTCCTAAGAATGGTGAAAAAGGCAAGAAGATTCAGTGGTCTTTCATGGAAAGAGTTCTATATGGATTCATTTGACCTGAACCAAAAACCAAGACGAGAGCAGGAACCCCAAGGCACCCGTTAAACTGAAGTAAATGACATAATCACAGAAAGAAAAATGGAGAACTGGGGAGACTTGAAGGTGAAAAAAACTCAAGTATAAACAGACTCTCCACAAGGCATCAGTTTGGCCATTGTCACAAGGTTGTTACATCACCTCATAGTTCCTACTTATCCAGACTCCAACTCATGTCCAAATCTGCTTGGAAATGTGTACGTAGACAGTCTGTTCAGAGATAGAGTGGTCCATATAACTTGATATATTTCCAATTTCTTTAACTTAAAAAAAAAACAGCCAGTTGTTGATCCACAAATGGCATATATCTTACTTACTTGAAGGTATTATTTCATGTTTTTTATAAAAGTGCTTCTTATTCCTGCACTGGCTTTATCTTCTTGATTGAATTCAGTGTACCTCTTCCACGTGAGTTGTCATGGAAATCTTGAAAAACCTTGATTATGAGCTGACTTTTAAAATTCATGCTATCAAATTATACTGAAACAGAGATAAGCCAGCTTCAGAAGAACAAGATGGATTACAATTATATGAAGTACCCAGAAAATCAAAAATTTAAAAATAGAGGTAAAATATTGCTTATGAGGGTCTGGGACCAAAGTAATGTGGAGGTATTTGTTAAGAGACACAGAGTTTCATTTTGGGTAAAAGAGAAAGGTATGAAGTTGGCCAAATAAATGTGAATGCTCTTACTGCCACTAAATTGCATGAGTAAACATTGTTAATATGGTAAAGTCTGTGCTATTTGTATTTTATCACATAAAAATTGGGCTACACCTAGTGATAGATCTTTTTCTTTGTGTCAAGGCCCACCTTGGATATTTAGGAAACACAGAGAAGGTGGTCCAGGGCAAAGGGTATCTCACCACTGTGCTTTCTCTCAGTGAAGACTCCCAGGGCTCTCTGGGCTTTGATAACTACTTGGGGATTTCACCTGCTTCACAGGATGCACTTAATTGTTATTGCTTCCATTTGGAGACCATCCCATGTCTTAGTACAGGATAGAGAGGGGTGTGAGTTTGACTATCCTGGAGAATCCAAAATATCACCCGGGCGGAATGTCCCTGTTTCCCCTCTGGCTCAGTTCTTCCCAATCATTTCTCCCTCCAGAGTCCTAAGGAATTTTCTGCATCAGTCCTCTGCTGTGATTTGTCTCATTTTGTTGCTCCACATCACATCACCTAGGCCTAGCTCTTAGACGGGGCTGAGGAAGAAGACGTAAAGCAACTTTTTATATCGCTTTCAGGATATTTCTACTGTTCAGATTTTCTCTCTTTTTGAGAGAGGTCGTGTACTTGTTTTATTATCATTCCTGTGTTACTAGGTGATTTTGCATAAATTGAATAAACACATTTAAATTCTCTTGCACTTTAAAGACCTTGTTTTCTCTTTTTCGTGATAGCTTTGTGCACTTTAATGTTTCTAGGAGCTTTCGCTTCACTATACCAGTATGACACTTTCCTTCTGCCAATAATATCCCATATCTAAGACGCATTGGCCACTGAGCCTTTGTTTCCAGACACTGGTTTCTGCTTTCATCTTTTTTTTTTTTTTTTTTTTTTTTTTTTTTTTTTTTTTTTGTACCAGGGATTGAACTTGGGACCTTGCACTCGTGAGGCAGCCAGAAAAACTACTGAGCCAAATCCCCAGCCCACTGCTTTCATCTTTATTGATATGGTCATTTTCTAGGTTGAAAGAATTTTTAAAAATTTCACTGAATTCTGTTCTATGGTGTTATAATCTCATTCTATTTTTGTTTGCCTTTTCCGGCTTTTGCTTTTGTTTTTTATTCACATATCTTGAGCTGTTTTGTTTTATCTGCATGTTTGATAAACTGGGTTGGGCAAGGGTTTTGTGCTTTGATCCATAAATAAGATCAGTGTTATCAGATCCTTCTTCTGCAAGGTAAATTTGAAGAGAGAAGTTCCTGGTATTATCTAGAGGGAAATGTGGGGAGGAAGGCTGAGATTAGCAGACCCTGGAGGTAATTTCATTCAGGATAATTTCTGCCTCCTCCCCGGGATCTCTGCTGGAGGGAAATAATTATTGCCCTTGAGACAAAAATAACTGGTCAGAGAATGGACTTGATCATGCAATTTGTATTCGATAACATTCGTTCCTATGTTCTTTCCGTGAAAGAAAGCATGGCTAGTTTTTCCTATTGTCCTTCTATACACTGTTGTAGTTTGCAGTTCTATAATAGAAAGACTGGAAATATATTTCTAAGGCCTCTTCAATCCAGATCTCTGCGTCACCCTGCTATGAATACATACAGGCTCACTGTGGAAATGCTCCCCTTTTCTGTAGTCTGGCTGTACTGCATTCTCCATGGATCAAACTACAGGAATGTCCTTCAGTGTTCTCACTAATGCAGAAAGCTGCACTTGTACCCAGTGTCAATATTCACGTGGTAACCTCTGTCAATACATTCATAAATTCACCAACGGTGGCAAATATTCTTGACTGCCTGTTGTGAGTTATAGCTGTTTAAAAACTTCCATAAAAATATTTTTAACTTTTAAAATGCATTTTTAGATAGATTTTAAGAAAAAAAGGACTCATAAAGAAACAACACTCTTCTTTCTTCTTGCAACAGTTGTTGTTAACGCCATTAAAACATTAAAGTCCTCCCACGGAGATATTTAACAAGATCTCTGAAGGCCACTTTACCCTGCAAGCCCAGCCCCAGCTCTCACTGCACTATTATACAAGCAGCCTTCTTGAAAAGATTGCTGCTGTTCTCTGTCCAATAACTGAAAACTCAGCACAACTGTATAGACTTTTCAAATTCAATAGTGGTGAGTAAATTTGGTAAGCAGTAAGTTTGTTTTTTTGTTTTTGTTTTTGTTTTTTTTTTTTTTGGCACTGGGGATCAAACTTGGGACCTTGCTCTAGCAAGGCAGGTGGTGGAACCACTGAGCTAAATCCCTGGCCCTAAATTTGATAAGCTTTTGACACATGTCAGTTTATACTGTGATGAGCTTTATCATCATGTTTTCAGTGGCATATCCTATTCAATTCTGAAACATTTTTGCTTTCATAAAGTGCATTCTTTTCTGTGCAACCTATCTTTATGATTGCTTTTTGTCAGCTATCATAGTAAGTACTTTGAGTTAATTTTGCAAGAAGTAGAAGTACAGGGTTATATCTGCTATATAAGATTTAAGTGATGGCACCATGGAAGGAGCTCCATACTTCAGATCTGTGATGGTGAACCTTTTAGGATTTTCAAGGATACAAGTAGCCCACTCTGGCACACATGCCATAGGTCCACCAACTCCGCATACTGTAAGCTTCATCACCTACCCATTAATTATTATAATCTGTAGCAAGTCTCTGCCTGACACTGGACTGGACTTCTTCTGGAAAGGTGGAAAACTATGCCACTCTAGGTATTGATAAATATTTGCTGGGATTTTGAGGGAGAGGTGAAGTTCTCTCACTGTGGCCCTGTACAAAGTCTCTGGGACATTGACAATGCCCCCTACTGAGCAACAGGAAAGAATCAGCATTTACAGAAAAGGAAAATAAGGCAGTGCTTTTTGTAACTTCAGCCACACCCATAACACACCCAGTCAAGGGAGATATAAATGAGGACCTCAACTCAGCTCTCAGTCAAGTTCCTTCCTGGCAAGATGAAGTCCACCGTCTTCTTCATCCTTGCTCTGCTCCTCATTTTGGAGAGCCAAGCAGCTGGGAAGAGTTTGCGTGGTGAGTAGAGTGTGTCTGCTGGGTGAGAGATAGAAACAGATCATTCTGGGTGAGAGCAGAGGGCTTTTCAGGCAGAGTTTCTTCTACTTGAGGACAAGGAGTCTTCTCTACCTCTGACCACTGACAGTCCTTGTGGCAACCTCAGGGGGTTCATCAGGCAAGGCTGAGGGGTAAGAGCTGAGATGAAACCTTGGAGATAATGAAGCCTAAACATTCTTGTTATCAATTACTGGCAGAGTGGGAAGGCCAGTTATCTAATGGATCATATCAATTTCCAAATAGATGAGAATTCCAACACTGTTCCGGACAAAGAGGCAAACATCAATCTGGATCTCAAGCCAGTTTTAAATCTAAATCTAACCATGAGTGGATGACAATTATAATGACTAGAAATGAATATGCAATCGATATTGTTGACATGCACAACATAAATGAGAGTATCTGACCAACATCCAGGTAGAAAACAAGAAATATCCACATCTAGGTAGACGTAAATGACAAATCATAATTGTGTAACAAGGATAATTACTTGGTCTAGATCAAGAGTATAACCAATATGTAAGTAGAATTCCAGACAAGTATTTAAGTAGAGAATAAGAGCCACTCTATAGTGGACAAGACACAGAATAAGGTGGATCCCAAGGCTGTTTTGCTTTCTAAATTGAACAGCCAGTGTGTGACAAGGACCAGAGAAACAAGACATACCAAGTCCTACTTAATCACCTACAGGTCCAAAACACAAGTAGAATGACAGGGGAATACAAAGTAAAAGTAAATCTCTTGTGTCACACACAAGAAGATAGACCACAAAAAGGAGCAACCAGTACATGACAAGGATGAAAGCTAGATGTGAAAATTTAATTAAAACTGAAAGACAAACACCACAACAAATATAATGTCACACTAGTATCCACGTAGAGGGAGTGAAAGCCCACTCATTCATGGACAAAAGGAGGGACAGAAAGATGGGTCTTAAGTCAATTTTCTCATCTAAACAAATCAAGTGATCAATAACAAGGACCAAAGTTAGGAGTAAAAAATGAAAGGAATTGAAACAAAAAAAGTAACTTCAGAGAGGCATATATCATCCTGGGTGAAAGTGAATTTCAGGGACTAAACTTTTATGATATCAAAAGAATTAATTTAACTTTTGCTTTATACTGAATGTTCTGTTACTACTTTACTTTCGGTGGATGCTGTATATTGAAGTCAGGGCCTTTTGTATGCTAAACATATGCTCTATCACTGGGCTATTCCCCAGCCTGAACACACTTTAATTGGAGAAAGAATAATGAAATGAACAAAGGAAATCAATAGTTTTCAGAAAAAAGAAATGTGTCTTTTAAAATATGAAAAGATTAATTTATGGCAGATAAATATTAGTTAGAAACTTATGTGTGGTATCTTTTCTCACCTATAAGATCCATGCAAGTTAGAAATTAGACACATTCTGGGTGTGTAAAGGTGGATGGAATGAGGCAGTTTCATTCATAACGAGTGAGAATACAACATGGTACAATCCCTATAAGGGAATATTATCCAAATTTCAGATGTCTTTAGACTGTGTGTAAAGGTGGATGGAATGAGGCAGTTTCATTCATAACAAGTGAGAATACAACATGGTACAATCCCTATAAGGGAATATTATCCAAATTTCAGATGTCTTTAGCCTTTGTGTCAGCAATGCCATTTCTAGGCATGTACCCTACAAGAAAGCAAGCCAAGAAAAGCCACATGTGGTATAGTGTGTAGTAGCAAAATATCACAATCTATGAGTACAGCAGTATGGGATCATTAAAAACTAAGGTGATCCATCAATGATTTACTCTGCAACTTTAAAATACACACACACACACACACACACACATACATAACACGAACACATGCACGCAACACACCCAGTAGCTCACCAACACTCCAAGATCTAAAATGCTATAGTTAACCAATAATTTACACCTAATGATGTGCTTCTTACCCATCCAGAATATTTTCTTCCATCTCTTCCTGACCTGAATTTCATCTCCAAATTTTTTATTTTTTTGCACTCAATTTTGAGCTTTATTCCATATGTAGATATGTATTCCCTTATTTTTCTTTGTTTTAAGCTTTCAACAAACACATAATTCTAAATACTTTCTTTGGGGTCTGGTAGTTTTTAAATTTTTGTTACAATCATGCTATGTATGGCTACATTGCACTTATTTTTGCAATTGTACAATATTTCATTGTAATAATAAGCCATAGTATATTTGGCCTTTAACTTGTTAGTAGTAATGTAAGCTGATTCCAGTATTTGACTAATTGAAACAGTACATCTAAGTAAATTTTTCTTTGTGAAGTGGGACTCTTTATCTTAATTTCATATTAGGTTTTATAATTCCTGGATCATAGATTGTGTATATGTTCAATTTGACTAGTTAATGCCAAACTGTATTTAAAATGCAATGGAGACTCTTCTTATTAATGTGTGAGAGGTTCTCTTCTCCTACAAATACATACATTTAGATATTTCTATCCAATAAAACAGATAACTCAGTTAAACATAAGCAAGATATTGAAAGAGTGCTTCATGAAAGAAGATATCCACATGAGCAATAAAAGTGTGAACAATTGCTTAGCTTCTCAAGTCATCAGGGAAATGCAAATTTAAATCATAAGGAAATGTCACTAGATCACCACCAGAATAGTTACTGAAAAGGCAGATAATACCAAATATTGGAAAGGTTATGGAGTAGCTAAACTCTCATACTTCATTGGCAGCGTAAGTCGGTACATCGATACTAGAAAGTTGTAATATTTATGACAGATCATATCTATACACAGTGATCTGTATGTACCCCGTGACCCAACAATTCCATCTCTAGCTAAGTATACCTTCAAAAGTGCATCATGGGGCCAGGGATTTGGCTCAGTGGTTCTACCACCTGCCTCGAAAGCACAAGGTCCCGAGTTTGATCCCCAGTACAAAAAAAGTGCATTGTGATGTTCTCCAAAGGATATGTGGAGGATTGTTCATAGCAAAATTACTCGTAAGAGCCCAACACTAGAGCTAATCACTGTGTGTCCACAGTACAGTGGAGCCATACCTGTTTTTGTATTTTCATGTAAGAATGTGCACAGCTGGAAATACATAAAGCACAAGGATAGGCTTTAAAATAAGTGAATTTCACAGACACAATGTTGAGCAAAATGAGCAATGTATATAAAAACAACACTGTAGACTTCACCCCCATAAATTTTTCAAATATGTGAAATTCAATATAAAGTTCAAACTCCTGAAAGAAATGGTATATTCTATACTCATTTTGTTTGAATAATTTATTCAGTGGGGCTTTTTTTTTCAAGGTTTTGCAGGATACTGCAACATTTTGACTTTTATGTCTCACTTCCAGTTTCAGCTTTGGAGTGCATGTGGTATGAGTCCAGTGTGACAAGGGGTGGGCTTTCAACCCAGGGTTCATTCTCCAATAATCAGTACTCTTCCCTCCTCATCCTAACCTCCACCCAGTGATTCCCAGAATCTGGGTGTCTCTTTACTCTAAACTTCTGCTAACAAAGACAAATACCAAGTCCTACTATCTTACATGGAAGACCAACTTATTGGCTTATAACCACAATCTAGAAAGATCTGCTCCTAAGTTTAAGGAGTAGGAAAGGATGGCTGATGTCATTAGTCTTCTCTCTGCTTTTTTCCATTTCTGGCAAACTGCGGCTTCTGGAATCCCCCAGAAATCAATTCGTTGCCTCTACTGTCTATAAAATAAAGAATTTTTCATCAGTCCTGGCTGACACACACATGTACACACACATGCACATGTACACACACCCATACACCTGTTTCTATGGACAGGGCTTTCATGATTACCAGCTCTTACTAGAAGTGTAAGTTGATAGTAGATTTTTAAAATAATTCTTCAGAAGGAGGCAAGGTGCTATTATATAAAAATGAAAGCATGTTAGCCACTGTAAATATCCACCTTGTACATGATTTATGTTTTGTCTTTTAAATATTGGAGTCATTTCTACCACTCAGTGTGCTGTGGTTTCAAAAGTATCATCTCATTTCAGATCCAAATTCCACCTCCCAATTAATTTCTTGGTGCATCTCAAAGATCACTTGTAAAATGGCAGCAGAGGCAGCTGCCATAGAAGCTGAATGAATGGGAGACCTGGTAGGGCTGAGGCAGTGAGGATGAGGTGCTCAGGGACCTCTCGGGTCCAGGCAGGAAGCACTTTTGGAGTAGCAGGCAAGTCTAGAACTCACACTTCAGCCTTGTGGCCGTTTCTCTCCTGTTCAGAAAAAGCAGGAAGCTGAGGGGTAGACTTCCCACACTTTCCAGTCCAGTGGTTGTGATCTGAGCATCTTGTATACAAGCCATATTCTTAGGTGGCTTTGGCCTCAGGGATCATTATCAGTGCAGAACATGCAACAGAGTGACAAGCCCAGGACCCACTCTGTGTACTGGGTATGGACTCTTGAGTCTCAGGTGTGGACTCTGACCCCTGCTTGCCTGCCCAGTAAAAGCATCCAAATAATCTGTCTTCTAAAAGGTTAACAAACAGAGAAGTCGTGCCAGTAGAGGGCCGTTGGTTCACAAAATAGAAACTGAGATGGAGATAGGAGTAAGAAATTGTCAAAATAATTTCCAGAGCAAGTTTGGAATTCAAGTTACCTGGTTTGTGACCGAGGACAATTTTTTCCTTCTCTAAACTTCCTAAGAAATAACAAAGTGTCCTCATGTCAAGATGTCAGCCCAGTCTGGGACCAGCTCCTGAGAAAAAATGGTAGACGGAGGAGGCAGCACACGCTTGAGGGAACCGTGGTCCTGTAGCCCCTGTCCACAAAGAGAAGGGAACAGTCTTTCAGGAGCACACACCCCAGCTGTCCCTGGAGCACCTCTCCTGCTTCTGAGTATAGTTTGGGGCAGACTGCAGGGAGCCTACAGGAAAGATATGGTAGTGTAGAGGGGCATAATAGATCTAACTGTGAGTACACTTATTTCCCAACAGGTCCTGCTAGAGCACAAGATCCTCTGATAAACCGTGTTTGGCACAAAGAAGTGGAAGAAACAGAATCAAGCCGAGGTCAAGATTTTGATAAACACCGCTTTTGGGAGAAAGATGGTCCCACGGGAGAACGAGTTTCAGTTAGACGTGAACATCTTGAGAAAAGTCACATTCGGTTCAAAGAGGATTCCACGGATGACTCAGGTTCAGTTGGAGGTCTCAATTCTTTGAAAGGACACCTTCGGCTCAAACGACATGATTCCATGGAAGAACTAGCGTCAGTGGAAGAGCGAGATTCAGCTAACGGTGTAGATCCTGGGAAAAGTCCCATTTAGCGTGTTTGAACCCTTTAAGGTGAGCACTCTCCGGAGGAAGAGGGAACCCCTGCTGATACGAAAGGTTGGGCGATGGGGAGTGATGTCAGAGCGGAGGTAGGGAGGAAATGGGCAAGTGCTGGACAGACTGAGATCGTGAGAAGTCTCAGAGGCCACAAGCAAGGTGCAGAGAGGGTTGTCCCTGACTCTTCAGTAGGTCAGAGGGCTTTGACCTGCTGAATCACAGCTCTGATTTTTTTCTCCCCCACCAGGTGCATCCTGTCCTGACTGTACCTGTCCTTGGCCCAGGCCTGCAGGCCTCCCTGTAATCCCCACTTTCACTTGTTGCCCATTCTTCCATTCCGGATACCCAAACATGTCACTGCCTTTCTCGTCTACTTCCCAATAAAAAGATCTTCTGCTTCCTTTGTTTCTGGCTCCTATGATTTTGGGGATCCTAGAAGTTCCAGGGAGGTGGACGTAAATGTATCACTGACTCTCCTCAGTGGAGAGAAAAGGACCCAGGAGATGAGTTCCTGTGGAATGGAGGAGAGCAGAACCGGGAACAAGAGCTTTATTCCTAGAGCTTAGTATGAGAAATCCAATAATCAGCCCAAGTACTGCAGTATTCATGTCCGCAAGAAATCTACAAAGCTTGTCTTTGCTTAGGACCAGGAAGAAAACATACACAGAAACAAAAAAACAAAACGCATTGCATAAACAGTAGTCATGTTATTTCCTCCTTTCCAATCCACGGTTAGTCTGATCTATCTACTGTCAGGCCTGCAGTGTGACCAGATAACACTGGGGCTCCCTCCTTTCTTTCCCCAAAGATAGAAAAGGATGGTGTTACTAGTTCTGGGAATTCTTGCTCATTAAGAATTTCACTGGGCTTGAGATTTCCCCACTACTATAACATCCATTTAGATTAAACAATGTTTTCCCCGAGGCTTCTGTTTTAAGATGTAAGCAAAGAGGCAAGATACACTGTCTTTCATACCATCGTATACATAAATAATGCGAATAGCGTCCTCTAAAGACATACAATAATTTGAGGGATAGGAGAGGACTATGTAGAAAAATCTCGAGGTGTGCCTTTGATCCGTCTACCTCACTGCCCTTGTACCAGGAAGCTCCCAGGGAAGGAAGGGCAAAGGCCGGGGAGGAGGAGCAGTGTGGATGAAGTGAAAAGAGAATGGCTCTGAAGTTAAGTGCTCCGAGAGCTGTCACCAGCCTCGCCTCTCACTGATTTTGTTGACCCCAGAAGATCTCTGTTCTTCTCTAGGCCTCGGGTCTCTATTTAAATAGACAGGGTTGTATACAATTATTCAGGACATCCTCTATAACCCTGCCATTTTGGAATCTGACTCAACTGCTCTTTGTGTAGGAACAAAGCTCACAAGGAAGGATGCCACATATAAGTGGGATAAGCATCTATCCTAACAGAGGCACAAGTTTCAACATGGAAACAGGCACACGCAATGAAAAAAAAAAACAAAGGAACACTACGCTTCCTAAAGCTTATAACTTTCTAGTACTTATTCCAAAGATATTGAAGTGGATAAAATGCCAGATAACGAAACCAAAACAATTATATTTAAAAAGCTCAATGGATTCCAAGAAGAAACAAATAAACAACTGAATGAATTAAAGAAGACATTGCATATTGAAGATATACTCCTAAGTGAAATAAATAAGTCACACATGTGTAAATACCAAATAGTTTCCCTGGTGTGAATATTCTGCAACAATGCATAAGATTCTAATAAGATTACTGACATTTAGAAATTTGAAGAAAGGAGCTAAAGGTGTAGGGAAGGTGTGATACGTAGGGGAAGAACAAAAAGGG